AAAACAAAAGGAAAATAGGCGATGCTGGCAGGGAATCTATGGGGAGTCACATCTCAATTCAAAGTTCAATTTTATCAGTCTTGAAATTAAATTGGGATTTAATTTGCACTTAATAATGTCCTCATATTTATAATACGGGGGAGAATATTGCCCCCTAGATCCTCTAGATATGCAAATAGCTATCCAATACTATGTGTACTTCATGTTTCGCTTCCATGAGGAATYATGTAATGCTCTGAAAGGAAGATGGAAGACCTGTGGGCTAGGTTCACTAATGCCTCTTAATGAGAAAGTAAGATTAAAGTTCGATACAATGCTTTAGAGCAAAAAGATGTACCATCTTTGGAATCGGAAGCAACAAATAATGATGAAGACAAAGAGGATACTGAGGATAGAGTAACCAAAGCAGATGAAACATCCCAGTGGATGGGGAGGATTGGGTTCTTCTCTGGCAATCCAACGGTAGAGACTGTCAAAGGAATTCTCCATATCTATAAAAACAAGTGAGTAATGTTACACTTTATTAAAATTCATTTTAAGGATTTATTTGTTTTTCGTAACTCATAATAGTTTTTTAATAGTTTCTGTGTCACATAAAATACCTTTGAGAAATATTTTCCTTCCAAAATTAGCTATTCTGAGCTATCATGCTTGTTGGCTTGTCCTTGCCACCTTTATTCATGTTTGTGATTTGTTCATTTTCAGTGAGATGACRTCGCTCACCAAAGGAATTTCCAGAAGTCAGACCATCTGCATGCTTGCAGTCCCAGCAAAGCTTGCATGTATTGACCTTTTACAGTTCGTGGCTCCCTCAGAGTATGTGTTATTAGTTATTTCCTCGTAAAAATGTTAATAAAGTATTAATAAATTAGAACAGGTTGTTGGGCACAAAAAAGTTAAACCTCATGTAATAACAGTGCATTGTTCCTGCCATAGAACATGGCTGCTGTAAAGCCCTTCTATAACTCTGCCACTAATATAAATGCAGACCTTTAATTGTGTTTGATTTTTACAAGGTAGAAAAACTGCCAAACTTGGCAAGAAAACCCTTAAGTATGCCGAGATAATAGCAAATAATGTTTAATTTTATTGACATAATTTGTTACTATGGTTTTGTAATTTTTGTAGAGAGTTCATTCAACACATTAAGATCATCAGAGACGCCACACCAAACCAGTACATGGCTTTAATCAAGTTTAAAAACCAGGTACAAATAATCAAAATAAATTTTATTTCCATAACAGTGTTTTATGCAAATACCACTAGAGTGCAAACCATACATCCATGAAATACTACTAACTAATTAGTATAAAATAGCACCAATGAAACAGATGAAACAAAAGAAATAGGGGTTGGCAGAACACGAGAGAAGTGTTAGGAGAAACATTGACGTGTAGCARAGTGCTTCTCGACATTCTCAAGTGTTCTGCCAATCCCCAAGTGCTTTCTGACTCCACACAGCACAGCAAACAAGGTTTTCATTTCTTTCATAAAATACAAATTTCAATAACTGTTATTTTGGATAGGAATGACGCAACTGAAAGTGCGCACATGTGCTGTGTGCTCTTGTAAAGCATGTGCTCCCAACCAATCAGAATGCGAGATTTATACAAGTTATTTTATAATACTTTTTTAAATAGGAATTAGCGGATGAATTTTACAACACTTACAATGGCCACCAATACAATTCACTTGAAGAAGAGGTGAGATAACGCTTTGCCAATAAATGTTTCTTTTTCGTATCATATTCTTGTATATGACACATTCTTCTTAAATATACAGGTCTGCCATCTTGTCTATGTAGCAAAAGTAGAAGTCTTGAAGTCTTCACAGGTAAACTTAACATATTTTATATTGTTTCAAGAAGAATTTCCTGATGTGTCCTGTTTTCTTTCTTACTAGGGAGCAAGTTTACCGTGTTCTGGTCTTACAGAATTGCCAAAGTGTCCAGTTTGCTTGGAACGAATGGTATGTTAGGTATTTCTACTCAGTTATTGCTGAGTTGCACTAGTGATGTAATTTCGTGTTGTGCCGAATGTTCATCAGATGAATTGCAAGTCTTCAATAGAATTCTTTCTGGCTGATAGCACATGGTGGTCAGTGTTTTTGACCACCATGTGGAACAGATAATGAGATTCAAAAACTTTTCCCGGCTAAGTAAAAGCCAGCAATTGAAAGGTGATTTGAAATTTGTGCAGGCCGTTATTTATATGGAAGCTGTTATGAGAAACAATTAGAGCATCAGTAGTAGCAGAAACAGTAGCAAAAGCAACGGTGGGCAACAGCAACATCAATAATGACAACAGTGCTGACAGCACCAATAACCGCGTCAAATACAATTTCAAGATCAGAAACATCTAAATTAATAAACATGTTGTTCGTACAGGATGAATCAGTTGAAGGAGTTCTTACAATCCTCTGTAACCACTCATTTCATGGGAGCTGTTTATCCAAGTGGTCAGACACAAGGTACACCGTTTGTAATAACCAGACTTCTATCAAGGCTTGACTTACAACTGAAATCATCCCATTCATTCTTTTCCTACCTCAACAGCTGCCCAGTTTGTAGATATGTCCAAACCCCTGAACCAACCAGTGAGAACAAGTGCTTAACGTGTGATTCAACAGAGGTGGGAACACTACTACTATTACTACAATTAAAGGGTGATGTACTCGCCTCTCACCTCTGGAGTCTTGGGTTCAATTCTTCGTTTGCACGTTACGTCATCACGGACATGTTGGTRCCATTTAACAAAAGATTTCTCATTAGCATCCATTGTTAACGGTACCACAATGGCCGCCATGTTTTTTTTCTTTTAACTCCCTTGGGAATGCTTGCAACCCATCAATTCATGGATTCAGCATCATAAAGTAGATTTCGTTGCACCGAATCTCAAAACCCAACAATCTAAATTCCAGTTCATTCTGTGAATAGCCKTGCTCAAAGGCTTTAGGTCTCAATAAGGATGACCAGATTTTATATTTGTTTAATTGAAGTTTTTCATTTATAATATTGATTTAGATTTCTTCTATAACTCGCTCAATTGTTATCTTTAGAACTTGTGGATTTGCTTGATATGTGG